GACACAATTGGATGTCGAAACGGTTTTCGATTTGTCTAATTTTTTGTAAGGATGATCTATGAATGAAGACCTAAAAAATAGATGGTTTGGATTATTGGGAAAAAAATTGTAGGGTACCCTAAAGGGCGTCCCTCAAATAAAATTATTTGAGGGGTCCCTCAAAAGAAGGGGACTGTATATATATATATATATATATACTATTTGAATAATGATACTCTTACCACATTTGTATACCACATCTCGATACCATCTTACGTGGCAGCTGAGGTGGACAGCCACATCAATTAAAATTATTTAATTATTTCTTTTCTTTTATGATTTATTCCAGTATTTGTTTTTCTAATTTTCTTAATTAAAATACACTTCATTGATTTAATTGATGTGGCATATAATATAAACATGCCACATCATGTGGTATAGAAATGTGGGATAAAAATATGGTAAGTGTAGCATTACTCATATTATTTATTTGAGTGATGCTACACTTACCACATTTTTATTTCATATTTCTATACCACATGATGTGGTATATCCATATCATATGTCAAATCAATTAAATAAATGAAGTGTATTTTAATAAATAAAGTTAGAAAAATAGAAATTATTATTTTACATGATGTGGTATGTACACATCAGCTGTCAAATCATGTGGTATGAAATTGTGGTATAAAAATATGGTAAGACTAGTATTATATATTCTATTTATTTCTCTCCTGTGTTGATTTAATGTATACGAATAGTATGCTAGTTTTTTATTATTTATTAATTTCTCTTTTGGGTTGATGTTTATGTATATGAAAGCTTAAAGTAAGAATGTAATTAACTGAAAAAACCAATATAAATTAAAAGAAAATTACAATAAACAGAAAATTTTAAATATATTTAGATTAAAATAATAATAATAATAGGCATTAAAAAATTTGTTCCATGTTTTTCTTCCACTAATCTCACTTCTATTATTTCTCTATTACTCCACCAGTAACTAGCATGTGAATGATTTCTATAAATAAAAAACCAAATATTTTAGTAAAATATAAAAATATTAGGAAAGACCAAAATTTGGAAAAATAATAGAATGATCTAATGTTTCAAAAAGTAGTTAGTAAAACATTAGATTTTTACATGTCAAATATTTATTTATTTTTTATTATGTTAAATTTCAATTTTAAGTAATCATGATAACATCTTGATTACCATTTATAAAATATATATCTCTTGAAAATTTTGTGTGCATAAAATACATAAAAATATATAAATGTTATTTACCAAATATTTTAAAATCTAAGAATACTGATTTTTATAAACTTGTTCTTAGTTTAAAGTATAGTCTATATTTGCATATAATATAACATATTATTGCTAATAATTTAAAACCAAAGAATATAGATTTTTATAAAATTGATTCTTAATTTAAAGTATAGTCTATATTTGCATATAATATAACATATTATTGCTAAGCAAAAGAACATTATCATACACAAGCATATGATCATATAAATACTTCTTTGTAAAATCGACCAATTACTAATCAAATATTTTTCTTCATGGTTTCAATGAGATTTCTTTTTTATTTTTTTGTTGTGTATTTATAAAAATATATATAATTAAATATAATAATTCTATATTTATAATATATAATTCTAAATAAATATTAAATGAAATATATATAAATATGTTATACCTTAATTTACAAAGAGTACATCATTAAGTACTACTATTACACTATCATGGACATATGCATTCCATAAGTTTGTAAATCATATCATTAAGTTTGTACATGACAATATTTGGTTTCACATTTATTAGATTTGGCACCTTCGTTACAAGGTTAAGGTGAATCCGAAACCATGGCCTTGTAATACTCATTTAGAAACAAAATGATTCCCCTTACAACATTAAGGTAAATGTGGACCTTAGAGAAGTAATTGTGAAACTTATTCTTGTAAACACTAGGGTTTACAATATTAAGGACCCATTTATAATTACTTGGACGTCAAAGTTCCATAAACTTATAAAGTATATCCATAAACTTGTAATATCATAATTTACAATAGAAAGGATATCCCTTACAATATTAACGCAAGGGTGGACCTTGGAGATGTAAACTTGGTCCTTATTCTTGTAAACACAGCGGTTTACAACAATAAGGACTCATATTACAATGGTTTGGACATAAACGTTCCATAAACTTATAAAATGGATCTTTAATCTTGTATATTACAAGATTTAGGTTCCCATTTACGTGTTTTTGCACCATAATTACAAAGTAATAATCCATAATCTTATAATACTATAATTTACATTAGAAAAGATCTCTCTTACATTGTTAAGGTAAGGATGGACATTGTTGAAGTAAATGTGTGGTCCTTATTCTTGTAAACATAACGGTTTACAATATTAAGGACCCTTTTTACAATTACTTGGACGTCAAAGTTCCATAAACTTATAAAGTGTATTCATAAACTTGTAATATCGTAATTTACAATAAAAATGATATCCATTACAATATTAAGGCAAGGGTGGACCTTGGAGATGTAAACATTTGTCCTTATTCTTGTAAACTCAACAGTTTACAACAATAAGGGCTCGTATTACAATGGTTTGGACATGAACGTTCCCTATACTTATAAAATGGATTCTTAGTCTGGTATATTACAAGATTTGGGTTCCCATTTATGTACTTTTGCACTATAATTACAACATTAAGGTTCCTTATAATCCATAATCTTATAATACTATAATTTACATTAAAAAGGATCTCTCTTACATTGTTAAGGTAAGGATGGACCTTGGAGAAGTAAATGGAGTCCTTATTCTTGTAAACACAACGGT